ATCAATAAAGAAAAAAAACACTGTGGCAGGCCAATAAAAAAAAAAAAGAGTCCCGCCGAGACCGGTTTGGCTCAATGGAAAGAGCGTCGGCTTGGGGACTGAAGGGACCCGGGTTCGATTCCGGTCAAGGGCATGTACCTTAGTTGCGGGCATATCCCCAGTAGAGGGTGTGCAAGAGGCAGCTGATTGATGACTCTCTCTCATCGATGTTTCTAACTATCTCTCTCACTTCCTCTCTGTACAAAATCAATAAAATATATATATTTTTTTAAAAAGAGTCCCATTAAAGGGCTAATATATAGAGAAGGAGGTGAGAGAATCACAAATTGATGAGTGTTATGAGGAGAAGTGATACAGTATGGTATGGTGTATGATACTTCATATCAGATGGTCAAAAAGGGGCTTTTTAGGAGGTAAAATTTGAGCAAAAACCTAAAGGATGAAATAGGATAAGCCATATGAAAATTCAGAACATCTGAAGAGGAGAAATCAAACACAAAGCCCATGAGATTAAATAAAGTTGGTGAGTCTGAGCACCAGCATGGCTGATCCTTAATGATCTAAGGACAGAGTGTTTGGGTATGGGGAAGGAAAAGTGGGCAGGGCCAGGTGGTAAGGAGCTGATATTCTGCAGATTATGGTAGGATCTTGGATGCTATTCTAAACTTGGCACTTGCCACCCATTGGTCTTAAAGCCACAGTTGCCCTAACCTAATAAGTAACATCTAAATCCACCAATATGGATGAGCTTTTCCAGGGGAAGGGTAAGGAATGAGAAGTGACTAGAACATGGGAACCTAATACATTAGTTAGCTATTGGTGCATAACAAACTATCACAAAACTTAACAGCATAAAACAACAAATATTTATTTGTGGGTTCCTGTGAGTCAGGAATCTGATCATGGCCTGCCTGGGTCCTCCGGCTCAGAGTCTCTCACCAAGTTGCAGACAAGGCATCAGCTGGGGCTGTAATCTCATCTGAAGGCTGGACTGGGGAAAGGTATACTTCAAAGCTCACCCATGTGGCTTTTGACAGGCTCCAATTTCTCACAGGGTATTATTGGACTGAAGACCTCGCGTCTTTGTTGACTGATGGCCAGAGGCTCCCTCAATTCTTTGCCATGTGGTCTTTCCATTTCGGAAAGAGTGAGGTAGAAACCATGATCTCTTATAACCTAATCTTAGAAGGAGTATCCTTTAATGTTTGTCACATTCTATTGGTTAGAACTAGATCCAACCCACTTGCAAAGGGAGGGGATGACATCGGGCACGAAGACCAGAAGATGGGGGTCCCTGGGAGCCATCTTTAAGACTGAAGAGCACTATATTTGAGGGGGTGGATGGCAGACATCCAGCCAGTGAAGGATCAAGATCAGAGACAAAAGGAAAAAGTAGCCAAAACGGGTTTGGCTCAGTGGATAGAGCATTGGCCCTCGGACTGAAAGGTCCCAGGTTTGATTCTGGTCAAGGGCATGTACTTTGGTTGTGGGGACATCCCCAGTAGGGGGTGTGCAGGAAGCAGCTGATCGATGTTTCTCTCTCATCGATGTTTTAACTCTCTCTCTCTCTCCCTTTCTGTAAAAAATTAATAAAATATATTTTTTTTAAAGTGTGAAAGAGTACAGAGGAGGAGATTCACGTTTCAGGTAGTAAACAATTTCAAATTCTACCTACAGGTCAAGTTGAATGGAATAGAAAAGAAACTGTGAAATTTGTGAATTGCAGGAGGACATGACTAACTTCTGCCTGAACCATTTTAGGGGATTGATGGGGATTAAAGCCATACAGACCAGTCCTCGTTCCTCACCAACTAGCAGGGTCACCACCTTTGCAACAGGGACTGGGACAAGCCAGGAAGAATCTCCCCTCCCAGCCTGGGGCTTCCCACTCACTCTCTCCTGACACCTCCCCCAGGAAAGCGACCTCATTTCTCAAAGACAAAACCGATTCTAGGTCATATCCCCCTGGAATGAGAGACTAACTGATGTGATTATCTCCAAGAGAAAGGGGGCACCTACTAAAAGTAGGAGCTGGTGCCCCAGAAGGGAAGACATCAGGGAACCGGAAAAGGGGTCTCTGATAATTACCTGCCAAGATTTCAGAATGAAGGGCATCAACGTGCAATAACAAAGGGGAAAAAAAGCTAAAAGTTTTAGAAGGCTTTTCTTCCTCGTACATCCTGCAATCTCATTCTATTTAATCCAAGGGCAGAATTCTGCTCCCCATTTTGTAATACTCCTAACATAGAATAGGTGGTCCCGGCAAAGATGGCCACACAAAGAAATTTCTGTAAAACAACCTTCATTATAAAAATCAGAGAGCTAATTTCACAAATATTCCCCATTGGTCTGAGTTGGACATATTTGAGCATCAGTATACTGGGAGGAGGAAGACTACACACACACACACACACACACACACACACACACACACACACGTGTACACACACACAGGGGTGGGCAAAAATAGGTTTGTGATTTTGAGTACGTGAAACACAAAGTTTGTTCTTGTATTATCATTAATTTTTGTTTTATTTTCTATACAAACCACTGTAAACCTACTTTTGCACACCCCTGTATATGGGGAAAGGGAAGGTTCAGGAAATTTTGGCTAGAGTGAAATCAAAACATGTTCAGAATAGATATTTCTAGGTGATGACATTACAGATGATTTTTTTTTCTTTTCTTCATTATATTTTTCTGGGTTTATGCCAAGCACTAGGCTAGGCAGCATAGATTCAGTGCATACATTACTTCCATAGCATGAAAACAGGTTTGTTTGTTAGCTTAAGAGAGGTATTTGAGTTTTTATAATAGTAGAATGTTTTCCCAGCTAAATGTTTCTGTAACATTTTTTGAGCATCATTTCTGTTCAGCCACATGCAGTTAAAACTCTTGGAGACTGAGCGTTAGTCCCAGCCCTACAATGGTTCCTTCCAGGCACCTGCTGTTTTAGTCTGTTTGGGCTGCTATGAAGAATGCCCCAGACTGGTAGCTTAGAAACAACAGACACTTAATTCTCAAAGATCTGGGAGCTGGGAAGTCCAAGATCAAGGTGCCAGCAGGCTTAGTGTCTGGTGAGGGCCCGCTCACTTCCTGGTTTGTAGACAGCCGTCTTCTCACTGTCTCCACAGGGCTGAAGGGGCAGGGGAGCTCTCTGTGAACTCTTTATTAGAGTGCCACTCCCATTCATGAGGTCTCCGCTCTTGTGACCTAATCAGGCAATGGTGGTATACACTGGGACCTGTTGGCATGAACACATTGAACCAATGAAAAGCCAGACTAGGACAGACTGCACCTCCATCCATAGCTATAATGAATTGCACTGCAGACCCATGTGGAAGCCAAAAACATCTTTATATAGATCTGACACAAGAGCACAAGGTAGTTTGGCACAGCACTACCCTAGGCAGCATAGATTCAGTGTATACATTACTTTTATAGCGTGAAAACAGGTTTATTTGTTAGCTTAAGAGAAGTATTGGAGTTTTTGTAATAGTGAAATGTTTTCCCAGCTAAATGTTTCTGTAGTATTTTTGAGCATCATATCTGTTCAGCCACATGCAGTTAAATTTCTTGGAGACCGAGAGTCCCAGCCCTGCTACGATTCAACAGAAATACCGCATACACCAGGCCACAAACCAAGACAGTGAAATCCTCCAGATGGGAGAATGGAAGCTCTAAATGAAGAAAGCAAAGATGGATGGTTGAATGCTAAAGGATGTCCCAAGTAAGCCATCTCCCCGGTTCTTTGTGAAACCCTCTCTGCATCTCCTGGTATTCAAAAAGCTCATTCATCTGTTCATTCAGTGAATAAAAATGAAAAGTAAGCACTTACAGAGAGCTTACTCTAATGTCAGCCACTGTTTAAGCACTTTATTCTTAGGAACTCATTTAACCCATGCCACAATCCACTTATCCTAGTTAACGGGTGAGGACACAAAGGACACAGAGAAGTCAAGTGACTTTCCCAAGGTCACACAGGTGGAAATGTCAGAATCACAATATGAACCCGAGTTGTCTGGCTCTAGGATCTTGACCATGATATGAGGTGCCTACCAAATGCCCAAGTAAAGATGCTACTGCTTTCTAGTATCACATGCGCTCACTCATCTAGGGGAAATGATGAACAACATAGACTGATGAACAAGAACAGTACCGGTCAAACTTCGGACCTCAGAGGGAGGGGAGGGAAAGGAGGGGAGGGGATAAGGGAGAGAGATCAACCAAAGGACTTGTGTGCATGCATATGAGCCTAACCAGTGGTCATAGATAACCTTGGGGTGGGGACATGTGTGAGGAGGGGTTTGGGATGGGAATGGGGGGATGAGGACAAATATGTGATACAAATATGTCTCCGTGGGAAACAGGTTTTCTTCCTCCATGGAAACAGAAAGTTCAGACAGGACTCTGTATTTCTTTGAATGTTTTTACGGTGATTCTGATGGTGAGGTCCCCTTTTCTGTTTCTTGCACGAATAATCCGGAGTGAAGGGAGAGAGTGAGGCTTAGTTACAGCGCAAGGGAAAGTCCTTTGAAGATGGCGATGTGTGAGCTGGGTTCTGCAGATTGAGCATGAGCCAGCCATGGGAAGAACAGGGGAAGAAATAAGCCTCGGAGAGGGAACAGAGAGTCCAACGCTTTGCAGGGAGGGAGAGCTGAGCGTGTCCTAAGAAGAACCGGACAAAGGCCCCTGTTGCTGGCGGGTAAGAAGTAACAGGGAGAGGCGGGTAGAATGAGGTCCTCTTTCTCAAGGAGCTAGGACTCCAAGCCACCTCTCCAGAGCTCCAAAGGCTTCATCTGGCGCCTCCCTGTCGCCTTCCCCCTCCCCCGACCCCACCCCTGGAACTCCGTGCGCCCCCCTGTCACCTCGGTCATCATTGTGATGAGGGCTCCGCTCCCCTCGCGCTTCAGGCCAGGAGACAAGGGCGTGTCGCTGAGTGTCCCTCTCCCCGTGGAGGACGCACGTACGCGGCCCAGGCAGGGCACCCAGCAGGGGCCATGCCCGTGCTGATCCCCCAGGTGGAGCAGAGCCAGAGCAAGCGCGTCGGGGCCCCACAATGGCGCGAGGAAGCCCAGGCCAAGATGCTGGAGGCGCATCGGCTGACGGCCCGCTGCGGGCAGGAGGCCGTGACCATGTGGCAGCCCAAGGACAGCGTGTGGGATCCGAACGTGGCGCACCACCTGTGCCGGGCCGCCTACATCTTGCCCTGGCGCTTCCACGTGGAGATGCTCCAAGATGGGAGCACTCTGGAGAAGCCGCCGCCGGGCGAGGGCGTCACGCTGTGGAAGAGCAAGATGAAGCCGCCCGCCTGGCACGCGCGCCTGCCGCTGCCCCTGAACCGCGACGCGCGCGCCCTGCAGACGGTGGACCTGGTGCAGGCGCACGCGCGCGGGTCGCGCCTCACCGCCGCGCGCCTGGGCCGCGCGCAGCAGCAGATCAATGGGCAGCTGCAGCTGCTGCAGCGCCAGCGCGATGCCACCGACCACCGGCTCAGCGAGGTGCGCAAGGGCCTGCTCATCAACCACCAGAGCGTCAAGCTGCGGGGCTACCGGCCCGAGTCTGAGAAGGTGGGAGATCCCACCCCCACCCCCTCCACCCAAGCCCAGTCGCCAAGACAGAAGCCTGCCGTAGCTCACCCTGAGAGAAACCCGCCCCGCGGAGAGAGCACCCATCCCAGGCCCCAGTTCCAGGGAGCAAGGGCCCAAGAAGAGGGGGACACCCCCAAGATGAGGTGCCTTGGTCCCCAGCCCCAGAGAGGGAGATTTATTTCCCCCCTCCTAATACCCCCCCCCCCCCAATGAGGATGAGATCCTCAGTCCCCTTAGCCCAGATGGGATGTTTCCCAGTCCCCCAGTGAGGGACAGAAGATGGAAGATGAAGTTCTTCCTAGTGAAGCTCACAACCCCCAACCCAGGCAAGCAATCGCCCACCCAGCCCCTAGGCCCCCGGTGTGAGACCTGCCTGTGGTCATGAGACCCTCAATGCCACGCCCAGTGAAATATGCAGAATTTCCTATTTCATCACCCATAAAAAAAGAATGAGTAATGTCTTGGTCCCAACCCATGAAACTTGCCTCAAAACGTTTATAAAAACAAACAAGAAAAAAAAAACAAAAAACCCTCTCCCCAGTCCAAGTGAGTGAGAAACCCTCCCCAGGTCTCATGGGAAAATAAAGGAACAGGTCCTGCCTACAGGTTGAGACCCTCAGACGCTCAGGGCCCACACCCAAGAGTTAATTCCAGCCAGGGAGAGAGAGCCCCTACCTAGTCCCAGTCCTATGAAATCTCCCTCCAAAGTGAAACCCTAGACCTAGACCCCAAAGCGGGAATATTCCAGCCTCCCTGGGGAGGGATGAGACCCCACTCACGGGGTTGTATTCCTCGTCCCAGCCCCGAAATTCAGAGAGTAAGACCTAAAAAAAAAAAAAAAAAAAAAAAAAAAAAAAAAAAAAAAAAAAAAGCAAGCTCTCATCATCCCTATAATGAAATTCCTCACTACTGGCCAGGAAGGTGGGTAGTGGGGGGAAGAGGGGAGAATAACACCATTGCCAAAAAAGGGGAGCCCCAACCCTAGAGAAACCTTCATCCTAGCTCACTGGACTCCCACCTGTGAGAGGGAGATACCCAGCCCCACTCTCCAGCCCCCTGAAAGGATAAAGTCGTCTCAGAGAGACCCCCGACCCTATCCCCCCAACTCAGAGAGTTTATAAGGTTGGCAAACCTCTACCAGCCTCCTGCTGGCCAGCAGAACTCTCCTCGTTTTCCAGATCCCTGACAAAGCTGACAGCATGCTTATCTGGGAGAAAGAGGAGTTAAAGAGCATGAAGAGGAAGATGGAGAAAGACATGGAAAAATCAGAGACCCTGCTCAAGGTTGGGAATCCCTGGGACCCAGTGAAGAGGGCTGGAGGGGGACCCCCAGCTGCCTAAGGAACAAACCGCTCCGATCTTGGGGACCAACAACAACACACCTCTCAACCCACTCACTCCGACTTGGCATTCACTGGATTTCTGCTTTGCTCTGCGGGATGGGGTTGGGCCTCAGAATGACGGTGAACACCCTCTCTGTGCCAAACCCAGTGCAGGCATTGAGTCAGCTCCTTTAAGCTCTCCTGTGAAGTAGAAACTGTGGTCTCTTATTGGAGATGGGGAAACTGAGGCTCAGAGAGAGATGGACCCACCCCAGGCACAGAACTAGCCAGTGGCAGGATTGTGGTTTTAGGTCATGAATCCTTTTCTCCCCAACTTCATTGTAAATTGTACATATAGCCTGGGTGGCATGGCTCAGTAGTTGAGCATCGACCCATGAACCAGGAGGTCACGGTTCGATTTCTGGTCAGGGCACATGCCAGGGCTGTGGGCTCGATCCTCAGTGAGGGACATGCAGGAAGCAGCCAATCAATGTTCTCATCATTGATGTTTCTTTACCTCTCCCATCCTCTTTGAAATTAATATATATATTTAAAATGTACAACCTGAGATATGGTATATGTATACATTTGAAATAATCACCACAATCAAGGTGTACAGAACCTTACATAGTTACTTCGCTGTGTGGTGAGAACACTTACCATCCACCCTTTAAGCAAATGTCAATTACAAAATACAGAATTGTTAACTACCTTCAGAATTTACTCATCTGAACTTTTGTACCACTTGGCCAGCTGTCCCGCCCTCAATCAGGGTGGGAGAGGCTGATCAGGGTTGGGGCCAGCTGGGGGCAGGAGCTGGGCATCATAGTGACCAGTTATCTGGTTGTTATGACATTATAGTCGCTGGCTTTTTATATACCATGTTTTCCGGCGTATAAGACGACTTTTGAAACGAAAAAAAGTCAACCGAAAATCGAGGGCAAAAGACCAAAATTGCACAAAAATTACCTACAGATCTTGATGGCAAAAAAGTCTTTTCTTTGAAGTGGGGGGTAGTCTTATACAGCGAATATAGGCTTAAACCTATGTTTTAACTGTAAAATTAGGGAGTCGTCTTCTAGTATATAGATACTAGAAGCTTGATGTCTGAAATTCACATATATTCACTGAGTGGCCAGATTATTATTATCTCTGAACACGTAATAATCTGGCCATTCAGTGTATATTCTATATAATAAAAGGCTAATATACAAATTGTCCCTCAGCCAGGAGTTCAACCAACAGGCAGACCTGGCCAACCACCCATGTCCCCTCCCCTAGCTAGGCTGGCTAGACCCCACCCATGCACGAATTCATGCACCAGGCCTCACACACACACTGAGTGGCCAGATTATTATGCGTTCAGAGATCATAATAATCTGGTAATCTCGCCACTCAATGTATATACTAGAGACCCGAGACACAAAATTCATGCAAAGGCCTTGGCCTTCACAGCACCAGCTTCGTTCGAATTGTCCAGAAGGATATCTGGAAGGTTGTTCAGCTGCCCAGTCTAATTAATATATTATGGTTTTTATTATTATAGATATTCTAGAGGCCTGGTGCATAAAATTCATGCACTAGTGGGGCGGGGGGGTCCCTTAGGCCAGCCTGCACCCTCTTCAATCTGGGACCCCTCAGGGAATGTCTGACTGCCAATGTCTAAACTGGCAGTAGGACATCCCTCTCACAATTTGGGACTGCTGGCTCCTAACTGCTCACCTGCCTGCCTGCCTGATTGCCCCTAACCACTTCTGTCTGCCAGCCTGATCACTCCTTAACCACTCCCTGCCAGCCTGATTAACACCTAACTGCCCTCCCCTGCCAGCCTGATCTCACTCCCAACTGCCCTCCCCTGCTGACCTGATCTCACCTCCAACTGCCCTCCCCCGCAGGCCTGATTGCCCCCAACTACCCTTCTCTGCTGTCCTGATCACCCCTAACTGCCTCTGCCTTCCTTCCTGATCACCCCTAACTGTCCTCCCCTATCAGCCTGATCTCACCCCAACTGTCCTCCTCTGCCAGCTAATTTGGTTCTGATTGTTCAGTTTCCATGCCAATTAGTGTCAAAAGCTCCACTTCCTAAGCAGCCATTGGCTCTTCACAGTTTACCCAGATTTGGTTCTAATTGGTCAGTTTCTATTCTAGTAAGCATCAAAAGCTTTGCCTCCTAGGCAGCCATTGGTCCTTTGCACTTCACCCAGATTTGGTTCTGATTGGTCAGTTTCTATGCCAGTCAGCGTCTCTGGGCCTATCAATGGGGCCTGATCAGAAAGGCAGGGCTAATCAGCAGCCCCTGTGGAGGCCTGGAGAGAAATGGAGGCAGGTCTGCTGGACAGGCTCAGAGAAAAAGGGTGAGGCAAGTGCTTATCAACAGCTGCCACAGAGGCTACAGATCAGACCCTGCTTCTCTCTTCAGGCCTCTCTCTGGGCCTGATTCACAGCCCCCTCAGCAGTCAGTGCTGGATCACCACACCTGCAGCTGCAGCAGTCAGTGCTGGGTCACCATGGCAACCCAGCATTGACTGCAGGACTGATTTGTGATGGACCCAGGGTTTTTATATATTAAGATGCTTCATTTTATAATGGTGGGAATAGGATTTGGATGAGGTGAAGGTCCAGATGCAGTAGATCCAGGGAGAGGGACTCTTGGTCTGCAGAGGGCTCCTGATACCTATTAGAGAAGAGAAAATGGGACTCTGAGGCTAGGGATGAGGTGAATGCAAGTTGAGGAGGAAAGGATGACACAGGAAGATGGAGATGTGGGCATAGCCATGGCTCCCTCTCCACTGTACAGATAGGGAAGTCGATGGGAAAGGGGCTTCCTCAGGGTGCCAGGGCAAAGCCAGATACAGAGCCTAAGTAATGGACACCCAGGACAGGGAAGCTGCCACCTGGCCTACTGCTCCTACTCACCCCACTCCCGAGATCACGAAGGCTTCTGGACTGAGGGTGAGAGGGTGGAGTGTCTGAACTTCAACTTGAAAATTGCTTCTTTTCAGCCACATTTAGAATCAAAGAGGGTCAGTTCAGAGGCAAAAATAATTTTCAGCAGAAAAATCAGTTCCAGCCACCCCGCCCTCCCAGCATGCTTTCTGCCCTCAGCTTGGCTTCTCTCCCACTCCTCAACCCCAGGCCCTGGCCTCCTGCCGAGACACCCTGGTCTTCTGCTGCAAGGAGAGGCTCCAAGTTGTGGATTTAATGAACAAGCCCCTGGACAAGGTTCTGGAGCTGGCAGGCCGCCATTCCTGGGTGGACCTCTCCCGCATCCCCACCCCTCACACTCAGGGTCAGAAAACGCCGCCTATAGACCCCGTGGGCTCGTATACACCAGGTAGGCTCCCTCAGAAAGGAGTCCACTGTGGTGGGTGCTCACCCACTCCCCTGCACTTCTCAGCTGCCCCCTTTCCTGGGGCATTGTCCCCCTAGACCAAACAAGAGTGCTGAGAGCCAGGCTCCAGCTCAACCCCTCTTCTGAAATAGCTCCTCACCCTGCCTACTGCTGCTTCCCACACCCTCTCCTCACTCCACAAGCCCCTCCCCTAGGCCTTCTCCCAGGCCCTCTGGAAAGCCCCCTCCCCCAAGACCCACCACCACGGTGGCAATAAAGAAAGGGATGCAGCCCTAGCTGGTTTGGCTCAGTGGATAGAGCTTCGGCCTGCGGACCAATGGGTTCCGGATTCAATTCTGGTCAAGGCCACCTACTTTGGTTGCAGGTTCCTCCCCCAGCCTTGGACCTGATCAGGGCTCCTGCAGGACCGATGTGTTTCTCTCACATCATGTTTCTCTCTGTCTTTCCCTCTCTCTTCCACTCTTTCTCTTAAAAAAATAAAATAAAATAAAATAAAATAAAATAAAATAAAATAAAATAAAATAAAATAAAATAAGATAAAAAGTCGACCTGATGGGGTTGGCTCAGTGGCTAAAGCGTGGGCCTGTGGACTCAACGATTCTGGTCAAGGGCATGTACCTTGGTTGAGGGCACATCCCCAGTAGGGGGTGTGAGGAGGCAGCTGATCCATGTTTCTCTCTCATCAATGTTTCTAACTCCCTATCCCTCTCCCTTCCTCTCTGTAAAAAAAAAATCAATAAAATATATTTTTAAGTCAATGGAAAAATATCTTCAAGTGAGGATTAACCACAAAAAGAAAGAGAGAGAGAGGGGGGGGGGTCAGGGAGGGGGGAAGGTGCTTGACACCCACGCGGGCCCCACCCTCCCGCAGAGTGCGCCATGGCGCTGAACCAAGCCAAGCGGCTGCTGATGGAGTCCAAGGACACCTTGCAGGAAATGGCCAAGAACGAGGAGGAAGTGGGGGAGCAGCAGCGGAAGATCAGCGACAGCGTGTGCAATTCGCTGGCCATAAAGATGCGCGAGACCACGGAGCTGAAGGTGGGCGCCCTCGGAGGCGGTGTCTGCGGGCCGGGGCGGGAGAGTACCCAGGCCGAGAAGGGGGCACATGGGGAGAGAGTGGACGGGGCGCCAGCGTGACCCCCCTGCGCTCCCCCCCACTCCCCACCCCCCACCCCCAGGAAAAAATGAACATGTCGGTAGGCCTGATGAGGGGGACCATCCACCGGTGCAACAAATTCAACCAGGAGATGTACATCACTCGCGGCCTTATCAAGGTACGGTTAGCGGGGCAGGGCCTGCGGGGAGGAGGCCTGGGGGATGCCCGCGTCCAGGGGGGGCTCACGGCTCTGCACCCCCGCCTCCGCCAGGGTCCTCTGTCAAAGTGTCACCTGGAGACTCGAGAGAAGCTGGACAGACCGCTGGTCCGCGTGTACCAGAGGCACGTGGGCACCCAACTCCCAGAGCCCGTGCACCTCACCCTGGTACGGGCCCCCCCCCCTTCCCATTCACTCCCCTGGGTGAGACTTCCGCCCCGAGGACACGGGGCCCAGGGAGGAGCCTCGCACCCGGCTTGGTCAGTCCTTCCACTACCTCCCCAGTGCGTCCCCGCGAGTAAGACCCCTCACCCCCTGCCTCCGCACCCGCCCCACTGGCTCATGATCCCACCCCTCTCTCAGCGCCGCTCTGAGCAAGCTCCTGGCTCACCTTGCCCAAGTGCTGGCACTTACCCCAGGCCCCACCCCCGGCCCCATCCCTCTCCCTTTCCCCAGGCCCCACCCCGCCCTTGACCCCATCCCTCCCCCACCCCCACCCCCCAATCCGAGGCGCACTGTTTCTTGCTTGCTCCCTTCCATGCGCACCTCTGGCCCAGAGGAGTCTGCCCGCCTCCCTTTTCTGCATCCTCTTGGTCGGTCCCCCAACACGTCCTCTCCCCCCACCCCCACACACACTCCTCCACCCCCGCCAGGGCACTGACAAGCTGCAGCGCCACATCTCGAACGTGGAGAAGAATCTGGAGGACCTGCGCTCCACGCACCGGAACCTCACCCGCAGCCTCGACTGCAAGAGGATCGGGCACGAGGTGGACTACAACGTGGTGCGCCTGCGCCTCCGCCAGCGGCACCCGCACGTCAACTACCAGCAGGCGCAGAGCCTGGTCAACGACTGGAACCCGCGCACGCTGCCCAAGGCAGGGACCCGCCCGCAAACACAGCCGCCAAAGCCTGGGACCCGCCTGCAAACACTGCCGCCAAAGCCTGGGACCCACCCACAAATACTGCCGCCAAAAGCGGACAGCAAGGCTGCCAAGTAGCAGGCGCACCCCCTAACTCCCTTCCCCCGCACACACACACACCCTACCCCCATGGCAGGTTCCCCTGGGAAACTCTCAGCCTGGTGACCCTCCCTCCCTTCGAGCGCCCTCTAGCAGAATTATAATTAAAAAGAACAATAATTGCATTTATTAGATATCTCCTGTATAGCCATCATTTACCCTACAGCACTTTGGGGGCGGTGTATCCTGGAAGTCAACTGGATGGATGTGGGTACCACCAGGGTTCCGGAGTTTCGAAACCTGGCTTTCCAAGCTATGTGGTCTGGGGTGTCTCCACCGGTAAGTAGGAAGAATTGCAGCACCCACCTCAAAGGTTTGTAAAGATAAGATGCATTCACATGCAGAAGGCCTGTAGAATGGCGACTGAATAGTCACTACCCTCAGTGTGCTGAGTCGTTATCATCCTCATTGTCCAGTTGAGGGAACAGGCACAGAGAGGTGGAGCAGCTTCCCGGAAGCCCTCTCTGGTGGAGACTTACTCTCCCAGACCCCAAGCAGCTCAAGTGGAAAGTTGGGGTTGAGTTCCACTGCCCTTTGCTCCCTTTATCAAGAGGGGTTGCTCCTTCCCATAGCTTGCTTGCTTGCTTGCTCCCACTCTGCCCCTACAAAGTTTCAGGTTCTGAGCCAGGCACTGGGAGTGCAACAGTGAGCAAGATTGCCTTGGCCCCAGATCTGAGAGCTAACAAATAGACCAATTGCAGCCAACATCATCTTTCTGGATGCAGCTGTAGCACGGCTCTTATAGGAAGCCCACCAGCTGCAACCACTCACCCATCAGCTTGTCCTCTGTTCTCCTAGCCTGTTGACACCCTCCCATCACACCAAGCTGTCACAATCATCTGCTCTCCGTGTGGAGGTCTCAGGGTGTGGCATACATAGGATACAAATATTTCAATATACAATCGAGCCACAAATATTTCCTAAGCAACTGTTCTCTAGAGGCTGTGTTCAGTGCTGAGGATACACTGAGGACCAACAGAGGCATGGTCCCTCTCTTGTGGAATTGACCGTGTATAAACGAAGAATGTCCCTCACAAATATTATCTTTTTGGCAGAGCCAACCAGTCACATGGACACAACTTAGCCTGCCAGTATTTTATAGAGAAGGCAATGAAGTTCAGGAAGGCGAACTCACTTGCCCAGGGTAACAGAGCCAGAGAGGAAGTAGGGCTAAACCTGGGTCTGCACTCTCCCTTGCTCTACGCTGCAAGCATCGGCCATGGGCTCACCATGACCTTCATTGGTCTCCTTAACAACCAAGGGAAGATGATGTCAATTATGCCCATTGGACAGGAAATACACAGAAAATAAGTAGCTTCCTTCCCAGGATCACAGAGATGAGAAGGAGTAGGACTGCAATTGGTCTATTCAAATGAACCATCTCTGACTCAGAACCATCAGGCATCACAGCCATTTCCCTTATCTCAAGAGGGACTTCACAGCCTCAGGGTCCTCATGGGGCTCCTGAGGGTCAAGAATGTTCTTCCTGCCCCGACTGGTTTGGCTCAGTGAATAGAGCTTCTTCCGCCTGCAGACTGAAAGGTCCCAGGTTTCATTCTGGTTAAGGGCACATGCCCAGGTTGCAGGCTGATCCCAGTAGGGGGCATTCAGGAGGCAGCCAATCAAAGATTCTATCTCATCATTGGTGTTTCTATCTCTCCCTCTGAAATCAATAAAAATGTATTTTTTAAATTGTCTTCATCTCTATACCAATCAGGATACCTACCAACAGGAAGCAGATATATGTCAACTATAATTTTTTTAAAACCAAGCTTCATTTGTGAGGTCTACCTAGTGCCATGTTTTTCATATTCTTGGTTTTTCCGTTGGTAATTTTGCTCTTTAAAAAGTTTCCTAATATTGTTTCTGAAGTGCTCTATAGAAACAATCTTAGGAAACATTCCTTAGGCAAAAAGACAGTGATGTGCCTCAAGAAAAAATGGTGTGTTAGACAAGCTTCCTTTGGCCATGAGTTATTCTGTTGACCTTAAGTTATTAATATTAGTGACTCACAATAATATATGTTTGAACAATGTGTATTAACTAAGGCATCTTTAAACAGAAACACTAAACAAAGTTATGGCCCTAGCTGGTTTGTCTCAGTGGATAGAGTGTCAGCCTGCAGACTGAAGGGTCCCAGATTCAATTCAGATCAAGGGCATGTGCCTGGATTACAGGCTCGGTCCCCAGTGGGGGGCATGCAGGAGGCAGCTGATCAATGAATCTCTCTCATCATTGATATTTCTATCTCTCCCTCCCTCTCTCTTCCTCTCTGAAATCAATTTTAAAAATATATAAAAGATATATCTTTAAAAAAAAACATGTGTTGAGCAGTTGACAAAAATGTTATGACCAGAGGCTCAAAAGAACCTATTCTTTAAAAGTATTTCCGCTGGGAGCAATGGTTGCTTATTTGGGTAACTTTATAGAATACAACAACAGTGAATGATGAGAACTGCCTTTATTTGCAAAGGAGTGTAGGCAGGATGTAGGGACAGTTCCAAGCTGCTGATATTGTGGGGAGCTGCCTTCCCTTTGGTACGTCGGAAAGGACAAGGTAGTCAGAGGCAGGCAGCCTGGCAATACCCCCTCTCTCTCTCTCCATGGGTCAGTGTCCCCTACTGTTCACAGCCAGAGAGAACGGAGCCCATTGGTGCAGTCCATACATCCTTCCAGGGCACAGAGCTGCCGCCTCCATCCTACTAAGCCTCTTGCAGGTCCTCTCTGGGGCTGGGGTTGTCCCTTTGCCTGAATCTCTGTCCATCCATTCTTCCCAGGAGCCTTGCTTGGGGATGCAAATGCTCTCCTCTAGACAATGTCTTACCTCTGATTGAACCAGCCCATTTGTCACCTCAGTCACCCACAGTGTTCCCCCACAGCATTTGCACAACCCCCTTTGTTGCCTCAGAGCTGAGATTTCAGCTGCTGCCCCAGGCCGAGTTGTGGGCACCCAGAGAGCTCTCAATGGCACCATCATGCGGGTGTCATCATCCCTGTGGGAAAGATGAAGAAATAGGCTCGACACAGTGGAAAGGTTTCAAAAGCCACCCAGCAAGTGGGGTCAAGTCAGGACTTTAAAAAGGGAGGGGTGTGCCCCCACCTTGAGATATGCCACGGCCCCCAAAGAATGGTCCAGATCCCATCCTCCTGAGAACACCTCCTGGTCCAGTGGTCGGCAAATCTCGGCTCGAGAGCCACATGTGGCTCTTTGGCCCCTTGAATGAGGCTCTTCTACAAATTACCACGTGCGGGTGCGCACGTACAGTATTGAACCTTCATAGCCCATGCGCAGAAGTCAGTTGTCAACCTGGGTGAGTCTATTTTGAAAAAGTGGCGTTAAAACACTCAAGGGGCCAAAGAGCCACATGTGCCTGGTGAGCCACTGTTTGCTGACCACTGTCCTGGACCACCTTCCAGAACTATAGAATCTGAATCCCAGTGGGCAGAGCTGAGGGCTGTGCATTTCTAATGAGCGTCCCAGGGACATCTGATGCATGCCAATGTTCGAAATGCATTTCCTGGGGAGAATACCTGGACAGCAGTAATAGTGTCGATGATAAAAAGAAAGAAAAAAGAAATGCATTTCCTCCCTGCTGCCAACTTCCCCAGGCCGATTTCTTCACCAGCCACAGTGGACACTGATGGAGGGACTGGCACAAATGTTTTCATTTTAATTTCTTTTTTTATTATTATTATTTTCTTAATATGTTTTTATTGATTTTAGAGAAAGAGGAAGGGAGAGGGAAAGAGAGATAGAAATATCAATGATGAGAGAGAGAAACATCATCAATCAGCTGCTTCCTGCTCTGGGATTAAGCAGTAACCCGGGTATGTGTCCTGACTGGGAATCCAACCAGTGACCTCTTGGTTCGTGGGTCGACACTCAATCGCTGAGCCACACCAGCCAGGCCATTTTAATTTCTTTTAAAGTCAGAAGAAACATGAATATATAACATGGAACTGTAATTTTTTATATAATATACAATAGAATTATACTTGCCATACAATATAATTGTATAATTATATATATATTAATAATTATATAATAATCTGAATTTTAAAATTATATTTATCTTTATACCAAAGCAGTTTTTATCGACATATTTGTGGTAAAATACCCATAACAAAATTTACAATTTTAAGCATTTTAAAATATATTTTTTATTGATTTTAGAGAGAGAGATGAAGGGAGAGGGTGAGAAACAATGATTAACTGTGTCCTGCACGCCCCCTACTGGGGATTAAATCTGCAACCCGGGCATGTGCCCTGAACTGGAATCGAACCAGAGACCTCTTGGTGCATGGGTCAATGCTTAACCAACTGAGCCACACCAGCTAGGGCTTAAGCATCTTTAAGTGGCAGTAGTACATTCACATTGTTGTGCAGCATCACCACCATCTATCTTCAAAACTCTTTATCTTGCAAAACTGAAACTCTGTTCCTATTAAAAGCTAACTCCCCATCTTTCTACCCAATCCCTAGCAACAACCATTCTACTTCCTTCCCCTATGATTTGACTACTCTAGGGACATGATTTAAGTTATACTGATATAGTTTTTAAATAATTTTTAAATAATTTTACGAAGGGGCCCACAAAGTCATTCAATCAGTCACTCAGTAACATCAACTGAATCCAGCTACACTGCTAAGCCATAGGAGCAGGCATATAACAAACATTGGAGAAACCAAGATGGTGGCATAGGTAAACACCTAACTGCAGCCTCACACAACAATTTCAAAAAATACAACTAAAATATAAAGTGGACATCATCCAGAACTACAGGAAAGTTGACTGATTGGAAATTCTACAACTAGAAGGAAAGAGAAAACCAGAAGGAAAATCAGAGGAGCAGTAAAAGCCTAAGGTACGGAGACACGGTGCACATGTGGGGAGAGGATGGAGCAGGAGAGGAGGGGTGGCCAATTGCCTGGTTGGTGTTCCCTACCGGGAAGGAGATAAAAGCTCCAGACTGTGCTG